AAAAAACACCACCTTTATCCGATTGAACTGAATTCAATATTGTGTCATAAACATGTCGTTGCTCAATTGTCAAATTAGAGACCATGTTCTTGTATTCTTCCACCAATCCTTTCCGATCATATCTCATTTCATCTTGTATAAGTCTATTATGAAAACTTGTAGTAAAGTATTTGGATTCTGAAAATGGCATTGAATGATAATCACGTAGACTTTTTCCACTACTCTGCATAATCTTCTCAACCTCCACAAGAGTATACTTTTTTATTTCATCATCACTCAGTTCCAAATCTGTACATTATTTGGAAAATATAGGCTTCGATATATTAAAGAACATAGCTGTAATAAAATCAATCGGATCTTTACTAAAAAAAATATATTAAAAAAAATTAAGCATTAAGTTTAATACCTTGGTGCTGCAGCATGTTTCGTTGTCTGTATAAAATATCAAAATATTTTTTTTCAATTAATTATCCAAATCTTAGTTATTAATTAAGTAAAAAATTAAAAAGAAAAAAAATTAAAAAATTCAACCAACCAAAGCCCACTACAAAACCTAGCACATTCTTAATACCATCCGTATTCACAATGAGACCACCAATACCCACCGAATTATTGTCAAAATATTTTTTCAATTGATCATCCAAACCTTAGTTAATTAAGTAAAAAAGAAAAAAAAATATCCAACCAACCAAGGCCCACTAAAAAACCTAGCTCATTCTTAATACCATCCATATGCACAATAAAATCACCAATACCCACCGAATTATTATCAAAATATTTTTTTCAATTAATTATCCAAATCTTAGTTAATTAAGTAAAAAATAAAAAATAAAAAAAATAAAAAATTCAACCAACCAAGGCCCACTACAAAACCTAAGCGTCCGTTTGACACCCATTTTTTTTGGACAAATTCTCATTTTTCTACAATAAAGCTGTTTACACTTACAACCCACTGATTCATTTGTCAGATTTCTATCAGACCCATAATGCCGTTGAGATTCACAGACTAATTTGCCCTCTGATTTTCAGGCCAATTCCCGTATTTGCCCTCCATATAATTGCATTGGATGAAAGAAAACAAAAAGTACTTGAAGGGCAAAAACGAAAATGTTAATATTTGAAATTGAAATTAACCAATGTCAAATTCCACCGTACTAATTGCCTGTCAAATGGAAACCACTTTTGTTGCAATTTTGCACATGGGACCCACTTTTACTGCTTAATACCACCCATGGCAAACAATCACAATGAAACCATCCTTACCCACCGTTTTCAACATTAAAGATGGTGGTTGTCTCCATCTCTCACAAAAAGCAAAAATCATTCATGGTTCTGCAAAGTCAATGCTACAGCCTACACAAACCA